AATAAATATTTCGAAATATATCACGATGAATCGTATAAAAAAGGCCCCGGAGTTGTACAGAATTAGTCAGTGGAAACAGTTTTACCTTTTACTTTAATAAAAGATTTTTGTAAATTAAGAACTATAATAAGAATTAATTATAGAAATCTTAAACAAGAAAACTATAAAATATTGAAAAGAATGCCTTCTGAAAATGGTGATTGTCGAAAAAAAATTAAAAAGTTAAGTAAGATAATCACATATTAAAAAGTATAGCTCATTAATTTGTTAAATAAATATTAGACAAAAGACTTGTAAATTTATTGACGTACAGTACACTTATTAAATCCGAAAATTCTACAGTAGTTTACATTTAGTAGTAATTTAATAATTAATTAAGAAATGATTTAATATTTTATCGTATTTTGTTATTTGAAAGGTCTGTCATGTTGAAGTAGAGGACTTGCTGTGACGTCACATAGATCCAAGGTCATGCTAACAAATATACGGGATCTGGCTATCCTTGTAGTTTAAAATCCTTGCAATTTATCCGCCTAAACGTCCGTAGCGTGGCGCTACGGACGGCGGGAAAGTAGTTCGGCTGCCCGATGACGTTTTACGTATTATAGGAGTTATTTTTACCGTTGTTTACGGATACTGCCACAATTTTTATAGGAATCATAACTATAGGAAACGGTTTTATAGGGGGATCTACTGTACTGCCACAATTTTTATAGGAATCATAACTATAGGAAACGGTTTTATAGGGGGATCTACTGTACTCAGTTTGCGTTTAGTTTCTCCCATATACTAGTTAGTTGTATTACAGGTACATGGTATCTTATACACTACACTCTTTGTTTCTTGTTCTTTATTATCTACTTTATTAGGTTTTACCAATCTTAATCTATTTTCTAATTTTTTTGTATTTCAGGGCTAGTTTTGTGTTTATTTTTTGTAGATCTTTGCTGATATTCTCATATAGTCTTTTTATATATGGAAAACTGATATATTTTATATCTATATTTAGCTTTTTTGATCTTTTATTATTCATTTTACTATTTATCTTGTTTTCCCAGTGATCGATTAAACTATTAGGATATCCACTGAGAACAAATTTCTTTTTTAGTTCTTTTATGTAAACATTTATATCTGTAAGATTGCTAGTTCTTGCCGTAATTTTTATACTACTATGCATATGTAGCTAGAACTATTTCCAAAACTAACAGCACAAAACCTTTCTCACTAATTTCTAGCCTTATTAACTGGAGTACAAACGTTTTCGGCCTTCTTAATAGGCCTTCCTCGGGTACACTGTGGAGCGTCGGTTAGAAGAAGTTTAAATGCTGCCAATGTTTACCCAGGTGTCGTCTTACCCGTGACGTCTTCGTCGATGATAGGTATACGACACCAGGGAGAAAAATAACATTTAAAAAATAACATAATATTTTTCTCCCTGGTGTCGTATACCTATCATCGACGAAGACATCACGGGTAAGACGACACCTGGGTAAACATTAGCAGCATTTAAACTTCTTCTAACCGACGCTCCACAGTGTACCCGAGGAAGGCCTATTAAGAAGGCCGAAAACGTTTGTACTCCAGTTAATAAGGCTAGAAATTAGTGAGAAAGGTTTTGTGCTGTTAGTCTCGTAATTTTTATGTACTACATTTTAAAAATGTTATATTTTATATATGAATATTAGAGTCATATCGAATTGTTACATATATAGAGCACGGTTTTTTTATAGGGTTTAAATTCTAAGTTGTTGTTGTTCCTTTTTACTGTAACATCTAAATATTTTATACTTTTATTGGCTTTATTCTCTTCTTCTATAGTAAACTGTATTTCTTTGTTTATGCTGTTTATGGTTACTTCTATATTATTGATCATAGTTTCACTTTCATCGTATATTATTAAAACATCATCAATGTAGCGCCTATAAAATTTTATCCCTTCATTTTGTTTATCTTCTCATCTATGTCGATCATCACTATCTTCGCCAATTTTGGTCCTACTACAGAACCCATACTAATCCCGTCATTTTGAGTATAGTGTTCACCTTCCATTTCAAAATAGTTACTGCTATACGAAAAGTTTATTAAGTCTATTATTTCTTGTTCTACATTAAGTTTTTTAGTTTCTTATCTACAATATCCATGCCATTGAAGGGTACATATTAGTAATGTCAAAACTTGCTATTCTATAGGTATCTTTTATTGTTATATTTTTAATATCAGTTAAAAGTTCCTCTGTACTATATATTGCAAATCTTGAATTTTGGTTTGCTTTCAATTTCTGTTTTAAGAATTTTTCAAGGTTGTATAGCAGAGTGAATTTAAAGTCTATAATAGGTCTTACCTTTTCATTTGGTAAGTTTTGAGCTGGATGTTAATTTTAGGTGTACAATTATTAACATTATTCAAAATAAATTCTGTCTCACTTTTAGTCAATTTTTTTAACTTTTGTAAGAGAGTGATTCTATTTTTTAGTTTTTTTAGTTATAATTTCTTTTGGGTCTACTGGAAGTTTTCGAAAGCAACCATTTTTTACCAGTTCTTGTTTCTTGGTTTTTACCCAATTATTATCTACAATAATTATCTGCTTTGATTTATCGGCTCTAATTATTTGTAAGTTGTTATTAGTTAAAAAGTTTTTGTTCTTTTAATTTTATCTCTATATTTATAATATTCGTACGATCATTATCATTATTCAAAATAAATTCTGTCTCGCTTTTAGTCAATTTTTTTTTAACTTTTATAAGAGAGTGATTCTACCGTTTAGTTCNTGCATCCCCAATGACTGATATGTACCAAGCAGTAAGGCACAGAATTAAAGGAGAAAATTGAGGTTAAAAATAAATTTTAAAATACCAAGAATAAATTAAAAATTATAGTTTTGTATAAAAAAAATTACACCATAGAAAATCAAAACACCAACTTCACAATTATGAAATTGGCAGGCCCACCAAGCCACTGTCCACTCTACAAATGACAGAAATTCTAAAGGTTTTAAGTGATTTGCAATTTTCAACCTCAATTTTCTCATTTCATTTTGAGTATTGCACCTTACTGCTTGGTACATGTCAGTCATCGGAAATGCGCTGTATCCTCACCGAGTTTGATCAAAATCAGTGACCCCATCGTCATGCCATTCCCTCATAAGATTGATTTTCAAATTTTAAAAATATGCAATATTGATTCTTGTATTAAATCATATAAAACATTCAAATTAACTTATTTAATTTTGGAATTTTAATTTATTTTGAAAATTAATTAATTATATATATATATATCCTTATTAGTTTATTGATTTATGTTTTTAGGAGGATTGACTTGTATTTGGTTCTTGTTTTGGATATTTTTATGCTTTGATGTACCAGAAGAACATCCTCGAATTTCAATGGAAGAGTTGATATATATCCAAACAAATCAAGGTGAAGAAAAAACTCATCAGGTAGTATATTATTATGATGACTTTTTTATTTTTAAATAAATAAAATTTTAAAATGCTTGACAAATTAATGGCTTAATTTTATGTTCAATTTTAGTTCTCTCTTATTCTGATTTTAATAATGACAAAATCTAAAATTTTAAGAATTTATGAACTAATGTTTCCATTTTATATTTTTTAATTTTAACATAATTTTTATCAGAGAAACAGCATTAATTATTATCTGAAAAAATATATTTTAGATAGTATAGTTTAGTATTAACAGTTGATAAATGCAACCCCTGGCAAAATATTTCTGATCATCTCAGAATTTTTAAAGTCAAGCTTGTTTTGAAGTTTATTACAAAAAGTAAATTATACAATGAAATAAATAACAAGAAATGAATATTTTGACTACAGAAACATCAATTTTTCACAAGCAGTTATTTAATTTAAGATATATGCTTCCACCTCAAATTAGTTGTGGCTTGCCCCCTGTACATCAGACTTTATCTGTTAACAACAGAGTCCTGCTGGTCATTATTTAACTCCTTTCAGGGGGAAATTTTTGAATTGAAATAAAGTGACTTTTGGTTTGCATCAGAAGTTCATATATAGTTATTTGGGGTCTCCTGCCCCTAAGCTTTCTATATCTAGTCTTGACTTTCATGTATCTAATTTTGTCATAAGGATAATTATTATAATCTTACAGTAGCATGTGCTGAACAGGTTAGAGAAGCATTTATAGTTTGCATATTAATTTATTTACTATGTATTTATTTTAAATCAGTTTTTTTCCTGTAAGATTTATTCCATTTTAACATTTCTAAACTTACATTATTTAAGTTTAACAAATTTAAGAATTGCATTGATTAGTATTTTTAAGTTTTTAAAATTGCTACTTCAAATTTGTTTTTGTGTTTATTAGAAAATTATAAAGTTATTACTAATTGTTTTACTTTTTATTTAATTTTAGAAGCCAGTTATACCATGGCGAGAAATTTTTAAATCTGTTCCTGTATGGGCTCTAATAGTGACTCATTTTGGTCAAAATTGGGGATTTTATATGCTTTTAACAGAATTACCTACATATTTAAATTCCATATTGCATTATGAGATAAAAACGGTAAGAGGATAATAATTAATATGTGTATATGATAAAAGTTGAGATTAATTTTTTATCATGATTCAGAAAATTAAATAAATTGATATGTTAATTTCTTTTATTATTATAACAAGAACTAAGGTGTAATGGGAAAACTGATTGTTCATAACAAATTGACATCAATAATACCAAGAATACAACAAGTAAAAACAATTTAATCAAAAACCAATGTTTTCTACCATTGGAAATGGTAGAAAACATTGGTTTTTGATTAAATTTTGAACATAAATAACCATTTTCAATGGTAGAAAACATTCAGGTTATTTATGTTCAAAATTAGAATTTGACAATGAACAAATAATTTAAAGTTGATGGAATACAGATATAATTGATTAATGACATTCATGTGAGTGCTGCCAGATATGTAATGGAAAATAAGATATACTAATTAAAAATCATATAAATTTCTTTAGGAGATATCAAATCGAGATTTTTAAGCTAGTGAGATATCTGCATCCTTTTAGTTGATGGTGATGGCCTTTCTTGCAGCTTTATATATGCCTAACCTCTCCAAATGTTTGAGGTGTGAACTTTTACATCACAACCTTGTTGGTGTTGTGATATAAAAGTTGGGCCTGATCAAGGAAAACCTGGGCATCATTGTCTGCATTTTTGCTTACTGGATTCTTGGTGTTATTGATGTTGTAAAATTAACAAATAAAACAATTAATACAAATTAAAAATAATATATAGTCAATGCTCTCTTATGTATTGTTCAAACTCAAGTCAAATGTTTAAATTTGAATGTTTTACTGATTTTAAAAATTTAATTCTAAATAATATATTTATATTTAAGTAATATGATGAAAATGTTTTAATATAAAAGTGTTATAAATGTACATTTTTAATACATTTTTAAATATGAATACTGGAAACAAAATAGTTTTTGACAGAATTTCTGCCTTACAATTTTTCAAGTTTCTTGTTGAATTACTTCGAGATTTGTCTTTCAATTAATACATTTTGTTGAGAAACAGAACATCTTGGAAAAAATTGTTACAATTGAACTTGCTGTTAAGCAACGTGATGATATGCAATATTCATTTAATTTCATAATTATTTAAAAATCAGTTGTCATTTTGTATACAATTAATGTAAATTTAATCACTTAATACCATTTCTTTTAATATCCAGATTTTCACTTTATATCACAAAAAAATTTTATTTTTTGTTTCCATTGTCTGCTAATTATCTATAATATGATGAAAATTTTTTCATTTACTCACTTTACTACATTTAAAATTATTGCACAGAGAATCAATTATAAATTTCACATGACAAAGTTTGCATATGGAAGTGGATAACAACATTTTTTTTCATATAAAGATATTTATTTTCTGTTTTGTCTTTGTAAATATATCTTTTGATTAAACATGAGTGTAAAAACTCAACTTAAAATATACTTAACACAAATAAATTTGGAAAAATCTGATTGCAGAAAATTAAAAATATCCCAAATTAAGTGTGAAAAGGAAATTGGAAAACATTGCCACTTGTGATGGACTTCCTAAACTAACATTTTCTGCTGATCTATCAACTGTATATAAAATTTACAAATCTAAAGAACAACTGCAAGAAATAGCCATTTCAAGCAGTGCTAATAAAAAAATCCAGCAACATTTGGCGGCACTAACTGTTATGATGTTTTATTTAAAAACTTTTTATATTTTTAACTATTATAAAATGGTAAAAAGCTTAATTTTGAGGGTAGGGATGGGTTTTATAAAAAATTGTAAATGTTATTATTAATGAGTAAAATCATCATTAAGTCTGACCTACTCAAGATATGACACACAACCCCATTTATCTCCCCCAGCCTTTAACCACCAAACTTTAATAGCAACGATTCCCCTAATACACAAATCCCCCTTAAAATTTCAGAAATTTTTGACAAAAAGCATAGGAGTTATTAAGTGTCAAAGAGAATGAACAAAATTGTGCCCCGCACACACAATATCCATACATACAGAAAAAAAACTTGATTTTTTACTGAGTCTAAAAGTATAAAAATCTTGGGGGATCAGTTTTTGACCAATAGCCATATATATAACAGCAGGGAAAGTAAAAAGACATCATAGTAAGGTGGATGTTAACATTGCATTGTTTTGTTTCAATGTTTTTGAGGCTGTGGCTACTAATATGAGGGTCATCCAGAAAGTAACGACTGTTTGGTTTTAATAAATGAAAGAAATATATTTTATTAATAAAAACATGTCACTTACAAAATTGAAGTTTACTTTCTTTCTTTACATAATTACTGTAATTATTTAAGCATTTGTCATATCTGTCCATGAGCTTTAGAATTCCTGTGTTGTAGTAGGCTGCCACCAGTCCATTAAGCCAGTTGTTTACTGCATTATTCACCTTGTCATTACTTCCAAAATGTTTCTTGCCCAGGAACTCTTTGAACTTTGTGAAAAGGCTAAAATCACAAGGAGCAAGGTCTGGACTGTAGTGTGGATGATTAAAAATTTCCCATCCAAATCGATCCAGCAAGCCTGTGGTTGCAGCAGCAGTGTAAGGGCGGGCATTGTCGTGAAGAAGCATAATACTGCAAGAAAGCATTCCATGCCTACGATTTTGGATTGCTTGCTGTAGTTTTCTTAGTGTGTCTCAATATTGATCTGCATTGATCATGGTGCCTTTTGGCATGAAATCCACCAAGAGAACACCCTTACAATCCCAAAAAACCATTGCCAAGAGTTTTTGTGCTGACAGAGTTTGTTTGAATTTTTGCTGTTTTTTGGGTGATGAGGGATGATGCCACTTGAGTGATTGGCGCTTGGTCTCTGGAGTGAAGTGAGACCTTCATATCTCATCGCCAGTAACAATTTGATCAAGAAAGGCATTTCTGTCTGCATGATACTGCATCAAAAATGTCAGTGCTGCACCCATTCTCTGCGTTCTGTGCTGGTCACTCAGTTGCCAAGGAACCTATCGTCACAAATTTTGCTATAGCCAAGGTGTTCAGAGACAATTTCACCAAGCAAAGAATGAGAAATGGTAGGGAAAGAAACATGTAACTAGTCCAAGGTTACGCATCTGTCTTGCATGATTTTGTTCTTCACTTGATTCTTCAAATCATCTATGATGAATGATGGCCATCTGGGCCAAGTTTCATCATGCACATTTGTTTGTCCATTGTTAAACATTTCACACTACTTTCTCACATTTCTTTCGTTCATTACTGTATCACCATACACTTCCTTTAGTTGATGGTAAATTTCTGCAGGTTTCAACTTCCAAGCATTCAAAAATTAAATAACACCTCTGACCTCACAGTTGGCAGGACTTTGTATCACACAGTTCATTGTTGACAATCACAGAATGCACAGTAACAACTTGTTTCTCCTAGCATTCACACAAAACTGAGAAAAGATGTCAAGGAAACTATTCGACCTTGGATAGTAGCCCAAGATCAAACTGCACAGCCAGAATATGCAATAGGTTGTTACTTTATGGATGACCCTCGTTATACAGTTACTGGTGAGATATTGTATGTAAAAGCAGAAAAATTTGCTTAGAATCTTGGAATGAGAAAAGCAGTATGGAATTGTTTTAAATGACTATAAACATAATATCAATTTGATAAATTCATGGCTATTGATAAAGATGCTGAATATGTTGAATCACTAAATGAAGATGAAAGCATTTTGATTATAGTGACAAACAGATATGTTATTGTTACTATGACACTGAGTGATGATAGTGATAACAAAGAAAACAATAATTTTGTGAGTGTTACAGCATTAGAAAGTTTAAATATTCTGCAAAGGGTTTTTTTTCAAATAAAGAGGAGCATGATTGGCAACATTTTATCCAGTTGGAACAGCACATGCACTTACAGAGTAACATTTTAAAAAGTGCAACTAAAGCATACCAAATAAGTATAAATGGTTGCAAAAAATCTTGGTTAATTTGATTAAGGCAACACAACATATGAGTGATCTGCTGAGAGGTGATGCCTCCCAGGAGGACTTTCTATGGGAAACTGGCCCCTATTTAGGTGTTATGAATATGAAGAAAATCTGGAAAAACTTCATGTGGCCAACCTGTTGGCAATACATGAATCCATGACTACCAGTGTTTAGTGGTTTTATCCACTTGGCCACTGGTGGATCTTTAAAAAATTACTTTGTTATAAGTATAAATTTTCTATTAAGATACATTATATAATTATAAAAGTTCAGTTTATATTTCCGATTGTGATATTAAGCAAATCTTGTTTAATGCTACTGTTTGAATAATATGTTTTTGCTAGGAATTGTGGACATTTACAGATGAACATTAAGCATGTTCTTCTGTAAATATTTTTTTTAATGTATATACAGTATTGAAATGCTTTATCAATAAGCTGAATAGCATGAAATAATTTAATTTATAATTTATTTCCTATAATATAATAATCTTTATTCGATAGTAGATTTAGATTGTTAGAAGTTCCTTTTATATATTTTTATAAAATGTAAAGCTTCTATCACACAATGTCAAGATGAAATATTGAAAAACAATGCTTATGCACTGTATTTGAGGCTTCTAAAGCACAAGATCCTAGTGGATGAAGCCTAAAACCACTACTGTTTTAATTATTTATCTGTTTAAATGTATAAAAATATTTGTTAATGATCTGTTGTTGTTATGATTACAGTCTACTTTAAAATTTTTTATAATATAGAGAGATAAATGCAATAATTTATAACTCTGGTGTTTTAAAGTATTTTGTGGATATTGACCAATACATTAGTAGATCATTTGTAACAAAATTTTTCCTGTAGAGAAATTTATGAAAAGTATATATTTATAAAATTCTTACCATGTTAAATGTTTTAATCATAACTGTTTATTAATGTAAATATTGTATAGGGAAAAATATTTTTGATTATTTAATATAAATTCAAAACATGAATTCATGAAAACGAATTTTGTCTATTATTTCTTTTATTTTACAGTAATTGAAAAATTTTAAAATAAAGAAATATAAAATAATTTATAAAATACATTTATTTTTATACTTTTTTTCCTTATTTGCAAAGTATAAATATTTTAATGTATCCAGTTCATTATACATTTATACAATTTATCATTTTGAATTTTTCCTTATTTTTTTTTTTAAACAAAATAATCATTTTATTGTCGTACATTCTATACATGGATCTAACTTTACAGATTGTTTATGTACATCTCTTACTCAAATGTTTCATTATGATAATTTGTAGAAAATAGTTATCAATATATTTTCCTAGTTTGTATTTACAAAATAATTAAATGCAAACTGTTTCACAATATTCTTTCTTGTTCAATATAAATCTATAAACTTCTTCCAATGTTTAGCTAATTTTTCACTCTATCAGAAAATAAAGGTAAATCTGGAAAAATTCATAAAAAATTAACTATAATTTATAGTTTAAAATATATCAATAGTTGTTAATTTTAATAAGATTAATAAAAGCAACCAGCATAGGTGTTACTTTTATTAATCTTAACAATAATAAAATGACAATGATAGCAATAAATTTATTTAATTTAGTACTTCTATCAGATGATTAGGCAATGAAAGAGCTTTTGTCTATAATTTATTANATGTCCATCTATTTTACAAATCCAAGAATTACTGTCAAAATTAGTAATTCTAAAAATTACAATAATTAAGTTTTATCAATTAGCTTTTAATTTTTTTTTTTTTTATAATATATAATACAAATATTCTTTTTACACATGCATAGTAAATTATTTTAATGAAATGGTTATCACACACATGAAACTATTAACGCCTTATACATCTCCTAAAATGCATTTTGGCCATTGGTGTTAATGGCCCTCATAAATTAGATGTTCACCTAACTGATGAGGGCCATTAATTTTATCTATTAAATATAAGGCAAAAAATTCCTAAATATTATTACAAGACTCACACATTTAAAACAATATCATTAAATATCAATAAAATTGTATTATATATAAATTAAGTTTTCTTTGTAATAAAAGATTAATTTCTTAAAATTATTTTTTCTGTTTCAAGCTTATTCAAATATATCTGTAATTATTTTTCCATCTGATAAGCTCTATTTATGTTACTATCATGAAAAATAAAATGAAAAATATAAGTTGTTGTGATTTCAAACATATTTATTATTTATTATGTTTTTTATCTACAGCTTATATAATAGTAAAGTATAGATTGCATATAAATTATATAATTAGTATTCATTGTTTAAATTTTATATCAAAGGTTTACAAAAATTTCTTTTACAGGATTCTTTAGTTCAGGATTGTGCTTGATAGGTGTTGCTTTGTCAGGATGCAACAAAACTGTTATTGTTACATTACTTGTGACAGGAATGGGCCTTAATGGATTTATATATAGTGGTTTTATGACAACTCATATTGATATGTCTCCTGATTTTGCTGGTATGTTATAGTACAATTTTTCAAAAAATTTATGTTACAGAGAATATAAGGTGATTTCAGTATACTTTTAAAATTTTAACAAGGTATAAGAAACAAAATTTCAGAATATCTTATACAATAAATTTTTGTGATGTGTTTTCTTGAAGTGAATTAAATAATTATGTTTCTTAATAAAGTTTCAACATTTTATAACAACGAATTATATTATATCATTATGTATAGTAAGTCAGGAATTCTATTAAGATTAAAATCAAAGCAAAATATTCCCTAGTTTTCAGTTTACATTGTTAAATATATGAGATGTTTTGTAGACATTTTAAAATCATATTTTGTAAACTTAAATATAATTGAACAAAATTAAATTTTATTAAATGACAAAAGATGTACAGCTTGTTAGCAAAAACATTAAATATTCTATTTGAGTCTGATATTATGTAAAACAGAGCTTTTGGAATATTACATTACAGTAGACCCCCCTATAACGCTTAGATACGTTCCACGCTAATCGAATTTTACGTTGTAGGAATGATTAAATACATGAGCCAATCGCAGCCCGATAGGTGTGAACTTTACGGACTAAGGCTGTTTGAAAGGTTTTCTTCTATAAAATTAACCGATTCTAGACTAATTCCACTCAACATTTCCAAAACACGTATAATTTTTTGGGAATAATCTGTATAAACTATGCTATAAACAAAAAATTATAGGATTACTTACCGAGTGTGCACCATTCGACTACGCCCGTTGTTCAAAGCTTGTCTTCGTCGCGGAACAGCACACGAAACGGCGGCCGCGATTTCTGATAAATAATTTTTCGCAGAAAAATAACTTGACCTTTGGAGACATCATTAATATAAATAATTTTTATGGCCGTTGAATAAGAAGTGTTTCTTTCACAAGAAATGTATAAAATTAGTGCTGTATTAGACTTACGGTACCTAATTTACATACTGTACAGACGATAATAAACTCAACTTACTAGCCTAAAATCTCCGTAGCGTGTTGCCAGGCGGCAGAAAGCATATATATAATTATAATAAAGTTACAATAAATTAAGTTAATATATAATTATATATACAGTACCTAATTTATATATAATTAATATATAATTATATGTACAGTACCTAATTTATATATAATTTATATATAATACTAAACAGACGATAGCAAACTCAATTTAGCCGCTCCGTAGCGTGGCGCAGGGTCGGAGGAAAGTAGTTCGGCTGCTCATCCACTATTGGTCCAGATTCTATCAATCTTCTCGCGAAACGAGTCGGCAACGATGTTTTAGGAGCGCTTTTATACGTATGTTGCTACAATTTTTTCGCTACGTTATAGGAATGCACATTATAGGGGGGTCGACTGTATTTTAAAAAAATTGAATGAATTTATTCAATTTAAGTTCTGTAACAAACTGTTTCTATAATTTTACAAAATATAAAATAATGCTTTAGTTTTAAAATATTCTATGAAATCATTCATTTGAAGATTTTCTATAAATTATATGTAATTTCAGGAACATTAATGGGAATGTCAAATGCTGTTGCCACCATTCCAGGAATTGTAGTACCTGCAATTGTAGGTGCAACAACTGAAAAGAATGTAAGCAAACTTATATTATTAATTTAAAAGTTACTAAATTAAATTTAGTTTGTTTGTTTTTTGCTATATATATATATATGTATATACATATATTCAATATATTCTTTTTTTATAAATTTAATTTTATAATTTTCTATTTGATGTAATTTATTTAGTAAATATTTCTTTCAATATCATAACTTTTTCCCTACTATGGTAACTAGTGATTGCAAATTTACCGGTAATTGGTAATTATATTATTATATTCTAAATATTCTAAATTATTATATACTAAACTGAATTACTGACATAATTATTGAATGACCAGTTATTTTCAAATTTTTATCAGTTTAGACCAGTGGTCGGCAACCCTTCTGACCTCACAGACAACTAAACTCACACTACTTGAATTCCACGGATAACTATCATGAATTTTTTTAAGCGATACAAAATCTGTAGAATAATGATTATAAAAGTTCAATTTTACTTTATTAATATAAAACTGGCTCGTTTAATTACACAAAATTAATGCAAGCCTAAAGTTCGTTACTGCTTGTTTGATATAAGTTTATGGATTCATAGTCCTTTTTACTTCGTATTTGGTTTTAGATTCAAGTAATACCCCCAATGAGTGAAAAAGCAAATAAGCATTTTGCATTTCTTTCGTAATATTTTGTGTAACTTTCAGTTGATCAATGTCCAAATTTCTCCACGGACCATCCAAATTTTTTCTGTTGGTGTGTTCGTGAACCACCCAAACTGGTGGTTCGTGGACCATTGATGGCCCACGAACCACCAGTTGCAGACTGCCAGTTTAGACAAACAACATTCTTGTAATAGCAATTATTTTGAAACAATAGACATTGAAATAATGCTGATTATTAATTATGTTTTTTTTTATTTTGAACATATGCTCTTAAAAAACATAATATATTAATCTTCTTGTCATCTAATCTAGCTCTAATTTACTTACAAATGGCAGCTGCATTAGAAAAAGCCCTCATGGAATCAATAGTAGTTGGATGTACTGTCATTAGAGCATTGAAAACCTTCTTAAGATGACTTTCTTGTGTTTTTTGCTGTAAGAAATAATTCATTTTTTTCTTAAATATATCTTTCACTCTTTTAAATTTACCTATATTACTGTCATCAGTGTCTACGTTCATATGTTTAATGAATAAGTCCAATTTCTCTTTCGTTGTTAAATTTGACTTTTCTATTGTGCACTTTGTTCTTGTGTCGACATGAAAAGTTGATGGTTTGGTAAGCAATAAACACCTATCACCAGAGTCTGATTTCATTAACATCTGCAGATCATGATTCGTTTTCATTTTCTGATAAGTGCTTGATTAACTCTACAATCACATTCAAAATTGTATTTTCGCTAACATTATTGGATATTTTGTGTGGCTTATATTTGTTGAATTTTCCTGGGTTACTATATTCCAGAAAAGAAGACACGTTTTTTTCAGAGAATCAAGTTATAAACAGACTATAAAATTCCTTTTAGTAACCTTAAATTACAAATGGAATGACCCATCACCACCTGCAGAGTTTTCTCGCTATGGTATGGGAGGAGAGAAAAGGAAATTTTCTTCTCACAGGTATTTCTCGTGGAAATTTTAGGAAAATAAATATTGGGTTAATTAAGAAGTTTTTTAACCAAAGTACTGGTAAAAAGATTAATTAACGGTAAATTTACTGGGGTATAATTTTCCTAATATACTGGTATATCAATTGCCGGTAATGCAATCACTAATGGTAACTCATTTGAAGCTTTCTCTTCTCTTTTCATTGTCATAAATATGTTTATAAATTTAATTTAATCATATTATGTATAGAGAGAATATTTAATGGTAATAGATAATTGAAAGACATTACATATAAAATGCAGTTAATTAAGATATTTTTTTATTAACTATTTTCTTAATATAAAGATAATTTATAGTATGTTTCTTTTATAACTATAGATAACTGTACATTTCAATTGTTTGATTTATCTTTTTGCTGTAAATTAAACAACTAAATACTGTGTCATTTGAAACTAAATGTATGCATTATCACCATCTTACAATAGATTTAGCAATTAGAGTTAATTTAGGTAATAGTTTAGAAATATTGGAAAAAAGATTTATCTAGTCTGAGAGTGAACTCAGTCCTCTGAACTCTATATTATTAAAGTGAAATATATTTTTGTATAACAATTATTCAAAAGATTAAGTTATAATAATATAATTAAATTAAATAGTTTTATTATTGTTGCACGTATAAAATGCTTGGTATAACTTTTATACATTAATTGATGGTTAGGTACAGTTTTATTAATACCAGGTATAATAAATACACTTCACCATTTTGAAACTTCAAGTGTAAAAAAAGAATACGAATCTATGATTATTTATTTGGAATCCCATATTCACCCAAAATTATATTTTATCCTTAAGTTTATAAAAGCACAAGGGTAATTGAATTTTATTTATAATATAATGATGGTTTGATTTTTTATTTAGTGATATGTTCAGTAATATGTTGTATTTCTAGTACTAACAGGTTAATTTCAAATTTATTTTGTGCTCTAAAATTACTACAAAACATATTAATAACAAANATAAAAGCACAAGGGTAATTGAATTTTATTTATAATATAATGATGGTTTGATTTTTTATTTAGTGATATGTTCAGTAATATGTTGTATTTCTAGTACTAACAGGTTAATTTCAAATTTATTTTGTGCTCTAAAATTACTACAAAACATATTAATAACAAAAAATTGTTTCAAACTTAAGTAATAAATAGTTAGAATTCAAGAACATGAAGATATACAATATAAATATTCTAAAAGCTAAGTATATAAACTAATTTTGTATGTTGTTTTACTAATGACACACAGTTATAATTTTAAATATTACATTTTTGATAATGAAATGATAATTTTTGTTCTTTACTTTGTATTTTTTGTTTTCTGTACTAAATGTAATATATAACATGAATAGTATTTTAAACGAATAACTAAATTTTGATAATATTTAAAAGAATTTATCATTAATGAATTAACAAATATTAAAACATAATTTTGGTTAAAATCTTTTGTTATAAAATCACTGGAAATGAATAAAAATTGTAAAATATTCTTGAGTAACTTGAAAATATTTTAAGATGTAAAATATTGCCCTGGATAAAAGTAAAATTTATTTATGTTTCCCATTTGAATTTTTACACACAAATTTTTTTCTTGTTTTACATAATTTTTTTTCTTGTTTTTTTTTCAGAAATTTAAACATATTCGAGCTTTCAATTAAAATTTTTTAAAACAGTTATAAAAACTTAATTCTGCATTATATTAAAAAATCTTTATCACAATTTAATATTTTAAAACTAAGTAAAATGACATTTTTTATATATAATAAATATACACAATAATACACTGTCTATATTTATTATATATAAAATTATAAGTGATCACTTTAAATGACAATTTTTAGTTTTATGAACATTTTTAAGTTAAACAAAATTTTATTACTTTGTGATTTATTTACATAAAAATATTCATTTATTTCCATTTTATTCAAAGTGTAGATTATATACTTAGAAATGTGGTATATTGTTTATGTAGTTACTAACTACAATATTTTTTCAATGAAATAATGATTATTGTTTAAATTAAAATGGAGAAAAATTCACAACTAAGTACATGAATAAGTTTTTATGTTAATTTTTGATATTATAATAGTAAAATATTTTTCTTTAAGGAAAGATTATTATTAAATACATAAAAGTTTTAATATTTTATTTTTATTAGCCAACAATAAAGACATGGAGTTATTTATTTTTCTTCGCTGCTGGTATATACATAATAACAAATATCATCTTTATTGTATTTGGTTCTGCTCAGTTACAACCTTGGGGAATTGCAAAAGTTCACAAAGACAGTTCTATTCAAGAAGTACCTAAAGACGATAAAGCTTCAAGCAAAGACTTATGATGATAAAATTTAAAACCTTATTTATGTAATTTTTTTTCTGTTAAAAAAATTAATGTATAATGGATAATTTTAAATGTTAAGAGTAAAATATTTTATTACTGTTTTAATCAAATTTAAGTGTACAAATATTAAAATTTGCTATATGTAAAAGTATTTAAGAATTTTAAATAAACTGTATATAATTCAAGAAAATTTAATATTTAACAATTAAATTTTCTCTATTTTTAAATGAAAAATAATTTTATTATATTTTGTTATTAATTCCAGAATTTCATATTTAATTCCAGTAAGTTACATAATTGATAAATCAATGTCTTTGTTTCAAGAATGAAAAGAATAGAACAAAAATACAGTTATAGTAAAAGTAATAGAAATTTATTATTTAATTGTTTATTGGTTATAATAATAATATTTATATATGTTGTATATTATATTTAAACCATTGGTTTAAGTTATTTCCTTGAAAATAAACTGCATAATTGGGAAGGTTGTATAATTTAATGGCTTGTTTGTAACTTCATCCTGTATTGTTTTAACAGTTTATAATTATAATTTAGAAAATGCATATTTTTTTACAGAAATGAAATTGATAGTCTGGAATATTCTTAATAGCAATACTTTCAGTTTTGTGTTACATTTTATTGATTCTACATACCATATCATTACAAATTGTTATGTATATTTTGTTATACTGTATATTATTTAAATTAATATATAATTATAATTAATTACATTGATTGTAACATCAGTAAGAAATTGTTTACAGGTCTATATTTTATATGTAAATTTAAAGAAGAAATATATATTTTAGATTATACTTTATGACACTTTTAAGGGCTAAAATAGTACATTGATTTAATTTATAATTTATTTCCTATAATATAATAATCTTTATTCGATAGTAGATTTAGATTGTTAGAAGTTCCTTTTATATATTTTTATAAAATGTAAAGCTTCTATCACACAATGTCAAGATGAAATATTGAAAAACAATGCTTATGCACTGTATTTGAGGCTTCTAAAGCACAAGGTCCTAGGGGACGAAGCCTNCAGTTATAATTTTAAATATTACATTTTTGATAATGAAATGATAATTTTTGTTCTTTACTTTGTATTTTTTGTTTTCTGTACTAAATGTAATATATAACATGAATAGTATTTTAAACGAATAACTAAATTTTGATAATATTTAAAAGAATTTATCATTAATGAATTAACAAATATTAAAACATAATTTTGGTTAAAATCTTTTGTTATAAAATCACTGGAAATGAATAAAAATTGTAAAATATTCTTGAGTAACTTGAAAATATTTTAAGATGTAAAATATTGCCCTGGATAAAAGTAAAATTTATTTATGTTTCCCATTTGAATTTTTACACACAAATTTTTTTCTTGTTTTACATAATTTTTTTTCTTGTTTTTTTTTCAGAAATTTAAACATATTCGAGCTTTCAATTAAAATTTTTTAAAACAGTTATAAAAACTTAATTCTGCATTATATTAAAAAATCTTTATCACAATTTAATATTTTAAAACTAAGTAAAATGACATTTTTTATATATAATAAATATACACAATAATACACTGTCTATATTTATTATATATAAAATTATAAGTGATCACTTTAAATGACAATTTTTAGTTTTATGAACATTTTTAAGTTAAACAAAATTTTATTACTTTGTGATTTATTTACATAAAAATATTCATTTATTTCCATTTTATTCAAAGTGTAGATTATATACTTAGAAATGTGGTATATTGTTTATGTAGTTACTAACTACAATATTTTTTCAATGAAATAATGATTATTGTTTAAATTAAAATGGAGAAAAATTCACAACTAAGTACATGAATAAGTTTTTATGTTAATTTTTGATATTATAATAGTAAAATATTTTTCTTTAAGGAAAGATTATTATTAAATACATAAAAGTTTTAATATTTTATTTTTATTAGCCAACAATAAAGACATGGAGTTATTTATTTTTCTTCGCTGCTGGTATATACATAATAACAAATATCATCTTTATTGTATTTGGTTCTGCTCAGTTACAACCTTGGGGAATTGCAAAAGTTCACAAAGACAGTTCTATTCAAGAAGTACCTAAAGACGATAAAGCTTCAAGCAAAGACTTATGATGATAAAATTTAAAACCTTATTTATGTAATTTTTTTTCTGTTAAAAAAATTAATGTATAATGGATAATTTTAAATGTTAAGAGTAAAATATTTCAATACTGTTTTAATCAAATTTAAGTGTACAAATATTAAAATTTGCTATATGTAAAAGTATTTAAGAATTTTAAATGAACTGTATATAATTTATTCAAGAAAATTTAATATTTAACAATTAAATTTTCTCTATTTTTAAATGAAAAATAATTTTATTATATTTTGTTATTAATTCCAGAATTTCATATTTAATTCCAATAAGTTACATAATTGATAAATCAATGTCTTTGTTTCAAGAATGAAAAGAATAGAACAAAAATACAGTTACAGTAAAAGTAATAGAAATTTATTATTTAATTGTTTATTGGTTATAATAATAATATTTATATATGTTGTATATTATATTTAAACCATTGGTTTAAGTTATTTCCTTGAAAATAAACTGCATAATTGGGAAGGTTGTATAATTTAATGGCTTGTTTGTAACTTCATCCTGTATTGTTTTAACAGTTTATAATTATAATTTAGAAAATGCATATTTTTTTACAGAAATGAAATTGATAGTCTGGAATATTCTTAATAGCAATACTTTCAGTTTTGTGTTACATTTTATTGATTCTACATACCATATCATTACAAATTGTTATGTATATTTTGTTATACTGTATATTATTTAAATTAATATATAATTATAATTAATTACATTGATTGTAACATCAGTAAGAAATTGTTTACAGGTCTATATTTTATATGTAAATTTAAAGAAGAAATATATATTTTAGATTATACTTTATGACACTTTTAAGGGCTAAAATAGTACATTGATTTAATTTATAATTTATTTCCTATAATATAATAATCTTTATTCGATAGTAGATTTAGATTGTTAGAAGTTCCTTTTATATATTTTTATAAAATGTAAAGCTTCTATCACACAATGTCAAGATGAAATATTGAAAAACAATGCTTATGCACTGTATTTGAGGCTTCTAAAGCACAAGATCCTAGTGGATGAAGCCTAAAACCACTACTGTTTTAATTATTTATCTGTTTAAATGTATAAAAATATTTGTTAATGATCTGTTGTTGTTATGATTACAGTCTACTTTAAAATTTTTTATAATATAGAGAGATAAATGCAATAATTTATAACTCTGGTGTTTTAAAGTATTTTGTGGATATTGACCAATACATTAGTAGATCATTTGTAACAAAATTTTTCCTGTAGAGAAATTTATGAAAAGTATATATTTATAAAATTCTTACCATGTTAAATGTTTTAATCATAACTGTTTATTAATGTAAATATTGTATAGGGAAAAATATTTTTGATTATTTAATATAAATTCAAAACATGAATTCATGAAAACGAATTTTGTCTATTATTTCTTTTATTTTACAGTAATTGAAAAATTTTAAAATAAAGAAATATAAAATAATTTATAAAATACATTTATTTTTATACTTTTTTTCCTTATTTGCAAAGTATAAATATTTTAATGTATCCAGTTCATTATACATTTATACAATTTATCATTTTGAATTTTTCCTTATTTTTTTTTTTAAACAAAATAATCATTTTATTGTCGTACATTCTATACATGGATCTAACTTTACAGATTGTTTATGTACATCTCTTACTCAAATGTTTCATTATGATAATTTGTAGAAAATAGTTATCAATATATTTTCCTAGTTTGTATTTACAAAATAATTAAATGCAAACTGTTTCACAATATTCTTTCTTGTTCAATATAAATCTATAAACTTCTTCCAATGTTTAGCTAATTTTTCACTCTATCAGAAAATAAAGGTAAATCTGGAAAAATTCATAAAAAATTAACTATAATTTATAGTTTAAAAATATATCAATAGTTGTTAATTTTAATAAGATTAATAAAAGCAACCAGCATAGGTGTTACTTTTATTAATCTTAACAATAATAAAATGACAATGATAGCAATAAATTTATTTAATTTAGTACTTCTATCAGATGATTAGGCAATGAAAGAGCTTTTGTCTATAATTTATTATAATTTATTAAAACTTTTTTTAGGAAAAACCCTTAATATTATGTAACAATATTCAAATACAATTGGTTATAATTAAGATTTATTCTTTAGTGGAAAGTGAAGTTTTATAAACTGTAAAGACAGTTTTATTTAAATAAAAATTAATAAATTGATATTTGAAAAAAAATGTAAAAAATGATATAACAGTTTTCCTTTTGGAAGACACTATTATTATTATTATTATTATTATTACTACAATTGAAAGCTTACCTGTTATATTGTATTCTTTTGAGAATAGCATTTTTATTTGTTTTATTGATACAGATTTTTCTAAGTAGATTATTGCACAGTTACTATACAATGATACTGTTAAAAGAAAGCAAAAGTAAACAAAGTTTTTATCGTACAAACATTTCAAATCAGCAATTAAATTTAATAGTAGCGAATCTATTTTGTTAATGGTTATACACAACAAAATATTGACCGTATTTTTATTATTAATATGTATAATACCATAATATATATTACCACATGAATCATAGTAAAATAATTTATAAAATACATTTATTTTTATACTTTTTTTCCTTATTTGCAAAGTATAAATATTTTAATGTATCCAGTTCATTATACATTTATACAATTTATCATTTTGAATTTTTCCTTATTTTTTTTTTTAAACAAAATAATCATTTTATTGTCGTACATTCTATACATGGATCTAACTTTACAGATTGTTTATGTACATCTCTTACTCAAATGTTTCATTATGATAATTTGTAGAAAATAGTTATCAATATATTTTCCTAGTTTGTATTTACAAAATAATTAAATGCAAACTGTTTCACAATATTCTTTCTTGTTCAATATAAATCTATAAACTTCTTCCAATGTTTAGCTAATTTTTCACTCTATCAGAAAATAAAGGTAAATCTGGAAAAATTCATAAAAAATTAACTATAATTTATAGTTTAAAAATATATCAATAGTTGTTAATTTTAATAAGATTAATAAAAGCAACCAGCATAGGTGTTACTTTTATTAATCTTAACAATAATAAAATGACAATGATAGCAATAAATTTATTTAATTTAGTACTTCTATCAGATGATTAGGCAATGAAAGAGCTTTTGTCTATAATTTATTATAATTTATTAAAACTTTTTTTAGGAAAAACCCTTAATATTATGTAACAATATTCAAATACAATTGGTTATAATTAAGATTTATTCTTTAGTGGAAAGTGAAGTTTTATAAACTGTAAAGACAGTTTTATTTAAATAAAAATTAATAAATTGATATTTGAAAAAAAATGTAAAAAATGATATAACAGTTTTCCTTTTGGAAGACACTATTATTATTATTATTATTATTATTACTACAATTGAAAGCTTACCTGGTATATTGTATTCTTTTGAGAATAGCATTTTTATTTGTTTTATTGATACAGATTTTTCTAAGTAGATTATTGCACAGTTACTATACAATGATACTGTTAAAAGAAAGCAAAAGTAAACAAAGTTTTTATCGTACAAACATTTCAAATCAGCAATTAAATTTAATAGTAGCGAATCTATTTTGTTAATGGTTATACACAACAAAATATTGACCGTATTTTTATTATTAATATGTATAATACCATAATATATATTACCACATGAATCATAGTAAAATAATTTATAATCAAAACATTTCCAATGATACTGATGATCAGGTATCATAAAATAATGAATTAGTATGAAATTTAAGATGATTTTACAAAAAATTTCAAAGTTCACCCATTGTTTTAACAAGATAACGCCAATAATAGAATATAATACTGTAAAATTTCAAATTCTGTTTATAAAATATTAAATTTTAAGTTAAAAATATAACACTTTGAATGATAAAATTGTTTTTAATAGAAAGTATTTTGAGAAATTTAACTTTTCCAATATTTAATATTGAATTACTATATTGATAAAAGTTTGATTGACAAGTGATACTGTATGGATAATAAATATAAATTCATATTTAACAATCTAAAATTAACCATAAATATTAATTTAACAACAATATTTAACAGTGTTTCATCCCATAAAACTTAAAATTTATTATTATTAATTTTTAAAGTACATACATTTACACATTAGAATGATGACTTATCTTCATATAAATCCTCATTAGTATAATAGCTTAATAAATAAGTTTCTAATCATATATTTTATAATAAAATATTTTAAAAAATGAATCCTAGTTTAGTTTAGCTGATGAAATCTTTATGCCATTATTTAATCATTTTAATATTGTTAGTGTAGGAATGATTTGCAACTTGTCAGATAAATATAATCCCCATTAGTATAATCCTCAGATAAAAGGTTATCATTTTACATCTGGTAACATAACTACAAAGTTTTCAAGAAAATTCTGTATTCATGATGGTAAGTTTTATATTTTTATAAATTCTATACAATATAGAGATGACTATGCTATGTACTTGACATCAATAATTGATTAGATTCCTGTGAATTTAAAAACATGAATTTATGCTTTTTTTAAAGCCGCAACTAGGACATATGACTAATAATTTTAGCGTATGTACTTTATATTCATTGCCCAAACAAAGTGCTAATTAGTAATTTTAGTTTATAATAATGACTTACAGTTTCGAAGGACAATTACGCGTTTGTAGGAAATTGAAGTACTAGTTACTTAAAATTTTCAATTAGTTTCTCCACGTTATATATATATAAATTAGTGTTTCGTCTACAAAACTAAACCACGTGACGGTACACTCGGCGCAGTACAGGAAATCTAAAACTCACGTCACCCGTTGCGCTTCCACCTCATCCACGTGTGGTGGATAGCGCTTATTCTTATTTACTTGAGAATTTTTATGGATGAATATGAGAAAAATCAAAAGGATCAACTTTTAATATGATTTGTCAACTGAAAAAATGATATGGAGGTAAGTTTAAACGTGCGTAAATTTCACTTTCCATTAACGAAATCGGAGATGGTCTACATGTTTATGGTATTGATTTACTATTTATGCGAGGAAAAAAAAAATGGATTTTATAGTTAGACTTTATAAAGATTTATATCCTGTTTTTAATTTTTGCTTTACACGGTTCAGTTAATCAAGTAATAACCAATTACAGTCATTCAGTTAAGACATTTTATAGTAATAGATCCGTTAGGAAGATAATGCGGATTTCTTTCTATATTATAAACTTTTAAATTTTTATGATGATAATTAATGTTAATTATAAATATTTATTATTTGTAATTATTTAAATCACGATGATAATTCACAGATTTGTAAGATACAGTAAGACTTTTATATGACATTGACCGTAATTTTTTTTTATACAGAAAGCATTATGTATGTGAAACGTAGCGGATGATTTACCGAAATTTTAAATATATATGTAGATGTAGCCGTAAATAATGGCCCATTTAATGCATCATAAAGCGATGAACTACAAATTATATGACCCGATATGAAATATTTAAGAATAAATTATAATTTATCTTTCCACTTTCAAGAGTTAAAACTATTTGTTTCATTCTAGGCTATATTGGTATTAATGGTCTTTATAGCATTGAATTGTTTTTTTTTTCTTTTTGTAAGAGTTTTTATCGGAAAGGAAAGAAAAAATAATAATAAGGAACATGATGAAATCTTTTACAGTCTAAGAGCCAAGGATTCTATTAAATTTCTTAAAGAAATTCTTTCAATTTAATGATGCATAAAATGGAACAGTTTTAAGTCTTGATTTCCAGAACGGAACGAAAATACTTTGACTCATGATAATAAATAAAAAATATTATGAAGAAAACTCTTTATTAGTGAATGATTGGAAAACAAATAAGAATTAAAGGATTACAGTTTTAGCCTCGATAAAGTACTTTTACAAATGAATCTTGTGGCTTACAAAATCATGACTTTAAATTTATTTAGTGGTGATGCAGCTAAATGAATTTATGAAACTGTCTAATTATAACTTATGCAATTGTTTTCAATCAAATGGATATTGTGAAAATTTCTCACTGGAGGCTCCAACGTATTTTGGATGCCAAAACCATCTATTCCAAAGATAATTTATTTCATTACTATTATTGAAAGGTGAGTATTTTTAACATTATTCTGGCTTACACCAGCCTAATTTAATTCCAAATTTTCTAAAATATACTGGCATATTTTAGTTTAAATATTCTTTCAACTCTTCTTTCCTTTAACCTTTACAGTAAGTCAGAAAAGTCTAATATCCTGTTAATCCATCGTTTAGAAATCATAATTAAAACACTTCGACCTCATTAAGACCTTTATAAATAGGTTTAAATCACAAAAGCAATGGACTAATCAATGAGTCATAATTATTTTGCTAATAGTAAATTTTTTTTTCTTCCACTCTCTGCACTCTTTTCATTATTATACGTAAAATAAATAAATGCGATAATTGTTTATTCTTGACCAGCTTAGCAAGTCGACAGGTCAAGGTGTTTAATCATTTTCCATTCTTGTAGATGGGCATAATGCCCAAATCTCGACATTTCGTGATTTTTAAGCTGTTTCCTCTAAAACGAACGATTTCTTTAAGTCAAGGTTATCTTGTTATATTTCTGTTTAAAGAAAAAATATTGTTTTTAAACTAAGAATTTGTTTAACGAATCAGAAAATTACCTTCTAGTCTATTCAAAAACTGACATCCGCAACTTTTTAAAGCTCTGTTGTATAGTTTCGGTTATGTACACACATTATATTTATTTAAAAACAAATATATGATTACTGTATCCACATTTACATTGTTTTGTATGTAACCTCCGACATAAAATAGCCTTTACTTCTACCTTTCTCTCTCTCTCTCTTTAAAGGGAAATAATGTAACTGTATCAATTGAGATTTGAAGATATATTTACTCAGAATTATAGCAATTTCATATGAAAAACTTTATCGCCTAGCATTGAATTTTTATTTAAAATAGTAATAAATTACATGGATTTTCCTTTATAGTTCTTTCTAGTGTATTTCGAATCATTGCAAAGAAGTAAAATATTCAAGAGTTGTCCTTAATAACTACATTTTCAATTAATGTTATGTGAATTTTCCTCGAATGACGATACGTCTTGTGGGAGGAAAACAGCGCGACATGACCTTTTAATTGTATAGTATAATAGGGAAAATGTACAATATTATTTTAAGTTATGATTAGTTTAACGTGGAAAAATCAATTTATATACGGTTTTACATAATCATATGATCGTGAATAAGATTTTTATTTATTATAGAAAGTATATTTAATGATAGTTTTAAGCACGAAGCCTTCGTGCTTTTAGGATCTTCACACATGCATAAATACAGTATATCGTAGGAGCAGTTTGTCAATACTTGATCTTGGTTCAATATTCAAAATCCAAGATCCTGGATCTCATACAATATCATACAATATTGTACTGTATGATAGAGGCAGTAACCTGTTTAACGTGTCATCACAATGTAAATAGACTTTTGTGGTTTTTCAGAGCCAAAAACGTATGTCTTTCTGTTCCAGAAATATATTTATCTTCTCTCTGTGGATAGGGATTTTACATTAATAAAATAATAAAAAAAAGGTCCATGCTTACCTAAGGATTCGCACAATGTAAAACCACTACTGATTACCACATAATTTTGACTATAAATTTCATTTTAAATACAGAAAGAAATTTAATATAGAGCCGAAAATTGTTTCTGATGTAAACTTAAAGGTAAATTCCTTGTTTCTAAGAAACTTTTGGTTTTAGTTTAATGTATCAGTAGTGAAAAGCGTTAGTGTAATTTCATATTATCTACTTAAAAATCAGCATAGCGTTTAAAATACATTGATAGTAACATTAGACACGATCGTAGGAACAATTGTTGCATGGATGACTTACAGTGAAAGCAATTCTAAATAAAACACTTCCTTTAATTATTTAAATAAACTTTTAAGATTATATCTTTATTATCTACAGATTGTTGATAACTCGATTTTGAGTGGACAGATGTCTTACTGTGAATCAGAAATATTAGATGAAGATTGGTCTGTTCGTAAATATCGCTTTCTATTCGCTTCCATTGCTCCTGCAGGTGATATTATCAGCCTGTGGAGATATCCTTTCTTAGTCAGAAAACATGGAGGTAAGTAACTTTTTTGGCATTATTCAAATTTTCAAAATATTCTTTCATTAAAATTACATCTATAGAGTCAATTAAATAATTTTTAATAAGTTATTTAAAATTTAAATGACATAAAAGATTGTCAAAGGTGACTTTTTAGTATATTTTTTACTTGAAAAATAGCTTACTATTTTAATATATATATATGAATATATTTCCATTTTGTTTGAAAATATTTGCTTGTAGTTTGCTTTCTCGTATATCTGAAGTGATATATTGTAATAAATTTCTTAGAGTTATTCTAGTTGGATGGAGAACAGAGGTATATTCAGACACCATCGTTAGGAAAACACTGGAAAAGGAGAAGTTTATATCCTCTCTGTCCTTCCTGAATACGCTTCTAAACGGTAAATATTATAATTATATTCAGCTAATTTTCCACGTGCTTCAAAATAATGTATATTGAAGAAATTGCAAAGCTTAAATCGCTTTATAAGCACACGATCTCATTGCATGAATCGCTATAATCCATCCATGTTATAGCAGTTTCTTTACCCTGTTTGTGAGTACTCTTATACCTATCCCTCTGCAAAACAAATAGAGCATAACCACATCTTTTCACTGTATAAAATTTAGGCCTAATATACCTAATTGTATATAATGAATACAAAAACTGATATTTATATAGACATATTGTATACCGAATGGCTTGAAAACTACCGTAAAACGTAAAATTTCCATTTGTTTTTAATGTATAATACCCAACAACTAACTGCTCATCGGTCAAACTAAATTTTGCCCATTATGGACGAATCTGAGTCAAAATAGATTGCTTTTTAGGGTGTGTTTTGCTAAACAACTGAAAAGCAATCAATATAAATTGATGTGTTCTTATAAATGCCTTTTCGCCTTTACAAAAACACAATAAAACATTAATAAACATTTATATTTATTGTAAATTATTTGATCTGTAGAATATATAAAATTATTCAAATTCATGCAATAGGTGGGATGTCTAGCCTATGTAATAAAAGATTAATATCTTCATTGTTTAATTGTGTTGTCTTGTATGTAAGTGTTATTTTAAAAAGATATTTTTCTTAAAGAATTTCTTAATTTCTTATATATATTTATATATACAATTTATACTTTTATATAGCGTAATAATTATTAAAACAATAAAATTCATTTTTATTTCTATTTTATAATTCTATTGCTAATATTTTTACAGAATTTCCATTTTTATTAAGCAATACTTCGCGGGTAAATAGTTTAAATTAACTGAAAATTAAAAATCATTATAAAAATTTTTTATATAAAATATAAACTTAGAATTGATTTCAAATGCAATTATTTTTAATTTTCAGTTATTTAGTGAGCTGTAATCCAATACTACAGTATAAATATCTACGTTATTGAAATACTACATAGCCTACTTTTCAATAGGAAATTTGTGGTATTTACTTTAGCTTAACATTACTATTCATCTCTGTTACGATTTTACTGAACTGTATATCGAGGGCCGTCCTGAATAAGAAACTTTGTCAGGAGGCTTGTAATTCTTGATCTTCCTGATAAAGTTTGACCCCGGAACCATCTTTATTTGAGAGATAAATTTGAAAAGTGTTGATTCTATTAATCATACCGTTCAAAAATAAGTTTAGAACAATA